GTTCCAGTGTGGCTTGAGGTGGCAGAATCTGAAAGAAATGCCTGGGTGGAGGGACAGTGAATGCATAGGAAGGATATGAAGGATTTGTTGCCTGACAGCATACTGACAGAAAGGCTCATGATGAGGGCAGTCAGGTGCCCAAGGGAGCCAGTCAACATAGCACAGGCTGAGTCAGTACAGGGATCCAGCTTGGCTGCAGCCATCCTGAGTCATAGCCATCTAGAACATTTATGAGAAACCCTGACCTGCTTTCCTGGCATGGCCTCCCTGTCATTGCAGTGACATGTGGGACTTTACAAAGGACTCCAGTGTTGTCAGTGTTAGAGACATGCTGGTATCCTTGGTGTCAGCTGAGGCAAGAGCAGATGCAATTGTCTCTGGTGAGTGTCACCATTAACCTGCTCAGTATATAAACCCTTCCCTATGACCCATATGCCAGGCCTCCAGGCTTCCTGCTTCCCTTGGCCTTACATTGTTCTGTAACAGTTATTTCTCTATTGTTGTGATAAAACACCATGACTAAGGCAACCCAAAGAATAGTTCATTTGGACTTAGGGTTCCAGAGTTTGTCATGCTGGGGAATCCTGGCCCATGTAGTGTGCATGGTGGCAGAAGCTGAGGGCTCACATCTTGATCTACAAGCTTGAAGCAGAGAGTGATCTAGAAATAAAGCCCACTTCCAATGACACACTTCCTTCTTCAACAAGGCCTTTGTTTTGTTTTGTTTTTTGTTTTTTGAAGATAGGGATTCTCTGTGTAGCATTCACTGTCCTGGAACTCACCTTGTATACCAGGCTGGTCTAAATTCACAGATATTAATCTGCCTCTGCCTCCCAAGTGCTGGAATTAAAGGTGTGTGCCACCAAGCCCAGCCCAAGACTTTGTCTTGTCCAGTTGAGAGGAGTCTGAGGCCCATAGTCTCATGGCTCCAAACTGTTTCATGTCAGCACATCACAAATTGTTTGAATTTTTACTCAATCTATCTTCACCCCTCCCCCATCCCTCAGTCAACCACCGTCTCAGAAAAAGAATATGGAGATTCATTTTAATTGCATTGGATCTTCAGGTCATCCTGTCCCCTTGGAGGACTGGGCACTTTCTAAGAGCTCCGTCTATTTTGTGGTGATCCTCACTACTCTCAACATCAGTAGCATCACTGCCATCAGCACCAACTGCTGTCATCTGGAAGTCTCTGCCTGGAAGGCACAAGGGTGAGTTGATGGTTAGTGATGACACTAGAAAGGGCTGGGTGCCATAAGGTATTGTCCTGTGGGGACGGATGTGGTGGTCCACAGTGTTTTCTCCACATCCAGAACTCTCACTCTGGCTTTCTCCTGTTTTCAGTTCCCCCATTTTCCTGCCTTCCCATTTACTTATTTCCTTCCTATTCATACCCATTGTGTTTCAGTCCCACTCCCTGCTCTCTAAGCCACTGTAGCCCCTTCTTTCAGCCAGAATCACTGGCTATCTGCCTTGACTTTGGTGTGCCACAGAAATACAAACTCCTCAATACTCAGTTCTGTAGACTTGATCTCACATTCTTTTTCTCCTAACAGTACCACTCACTGTGCATGTCATCTCCCCTGAACTCTTAGCTGCTTGAGGGAAGGATCACTGAGTCAATTGTGACTTCAGGATCACATTGATGTGGACAAAGCTTTTTCAAATTCCCTTCTCTGCTTACTGGCTACTGTGAGCAATGAGCAGTAGGTGAGCAGCCTTGGTCCTCTACCCCTGACTATCATGGTGCCTTTCATGGCTGAGTAACTGTGGTTCAGCCAACCAGAGACCAAAATGGATGAAACAATGAGCATAAATAAATCCTTCTTTTTAATTGCTTCTACTGGGGATTTATTCACTGTGATGAAAGGTAATTAACAGAAAATCCCCTCAGGGATCAGGTGGTTATGGAGTTTGGGTATCTTTACTGCAGGCTGCTCATTTTTTTCAATGTCTGGAGCTAGTTAAGCAGTCCATGGGCATCAGGCCTCTTTCTCCAGTGATTTGAGATCTCTATTTGCAGATTTTTCCAAGAGCCTCTATCCCTTTAGGAATACAACTGGATTCTGAGCCTTCTAAACTAGTGGTTCTTACCTTTCCTAATGCTGTGACCCTTTAACACAGTTCCTCATGTTGTGACCCTCAACCATAAAATTATTTTGTTGCTACATTATAACTGTAATTTTGCTCCTAGTGAACTACACACAAAGCCAACCAGGTGATTGATACTTGGATCTGTTTCCTGACAATCTCTCAACTGTAATTCCACTTGAGGTCTTTCTTGGGAATGATATCACTGCCCACCTTGTACACAGTACTCTCTGGATAGGTGATGGCTATAGCTACTTCCCTTCTTTTTGTATTTATTTTTTCCTTCATGTCATCTGGACAGTAATAGAACAAGGACACCATCACACTCTGCCTAACCTGGAGATAAAGATTAACTCTAAGAATCTATACTGAAACTTCAGGGTTCTTTAAAAAAATGATCTACATTTTTCCCTTGCACAGCACCAATCTCATCATGGAAAAGTAGCAGGGCAGAAGGCTAGGATTGAGTCATTGTGATGGCCCATTTGGTTGAATTGCAAGACAATATGAAGATTAATAGAGCTTGCCTCTGGTTCTGTCTAAGTTTGCAGAGATTGCTCAAAGAAGGCTCTGGCTTGACTGGTTTAACTGAATGATTAAAATTAAAATTCTAAATACTCTATTAGGAAGTGATGTATACATAGAGACAATGGGTCACTGGGAGGTTGTCATTGAATGCTGTGTCTTGGCTGTGTCTCCTTCCTGTCACTCCTTGTTGCTTCCTGGTTGCCATGTAGTAAACATCTTTCCTTTGCCATGCCTACTCAATGAACTTGACCATAGAACACACCTAAATTTCATTGGCATCGATTGTGCCATTTCTTGTGTTTGCAGTAGTCCTTGATTATTATTTATAGAACCAATGTGACAATCAAGGTAAGATTTTTCTATCACCATAAAGACATGCTGCTGTTAATCTTTCAGGGTCCTGTGCCTTCCCTATACCCAAGGCAACCCTTGACTTTCCACAGCATCCATCATTTTTCTTTTTCTTTTTTTAAATTTACTTTTATTCTATGTGCATTGGTGTTTTGCCCCAAGGCAAGTATAAGAAGTACGGTTTTTCCACCCGCCGCCTGGTCCATGTGAGAGTGTCAGATCTTGGAGTTAGTTAGCTGTTAGCTGCCATGCCGGTGCAGGGACTCTATCCTGGGTTCCTCAGAAAAGCAGTCAGTGCCCCAACAACTGAGCCATCACCTTTCCAGCCCTGAATCCATCATTTTTATAACTAAAATTAGTTGTTATACCTGTTCAATTGGTTCTGTTTTGACTAAGCACATGCCTTTAACAGCCATCTGCAATAATATGGTTATGTCACCATTAATCCTTCCCTTTTAGTGGCTCAGGAATCACAGCTCATCATGAGGACCCTTCTAATCTTCCCACACACCAGGACATCCTCAGAGTACCTGATCTGCATGCAGTTCCCCTCTAGGGGCAGCAGCTGCAGGCTCAATCTGGTTGCCTGTCACTTGTGTTTGGCAGGGACACACAAAGTCACAGCTCCTCTGCACTGCCCTTCCTTCACCCTATCCAACTCTCCTGTCCATTTCTGGAGCTTCTACTCATCTCTGAATCATTCCTGGTCTCATTTCCATAGCCTTTTCTTTTGTTAAGAGCACTTCTAAAACCTGAGGTACATTATTACAGTACATAAATTCATTTTAAGTTCTTTTTAAATGAATCTCTATTTTTTTTTTTGAAAAAAATTTCTGCTACCTACTAGAATACTTTCATTACCCATAAAGCAATGCTGTATCTATGAGAAGTCACAACAGGCCATCTCAATACTTCCCACCCCCACTATGGCTTGTTTCTCTCCTTTATAAAGGAAGGCGTGTTTCTAAGTGGACAGAACTATGGTGGTGAGGGGCCCTGGACTGGAAGGTTGCAGGGAGATATCTGGACACTAGACACTGGACACCTAAAGTGGTCATTCATTCAAAAGGACATGGTGCAGTGGTTTCTAGAGTCTAGAAGAGTGCAATGACAGAGGTACAGGCTCTGCATTTAATCTGTGTTCCAAAGGGCCAGACTGACAGAGTCAGGAGAGAGTACAGGGGTTCAACGTCAAGGAAGTGGTGAGCTGTGGTGATGGCTCTTGAGTTAGTTAAGGGACAGATGCTGAGCACCTGCCACAGGGTTCACCAACAGGGGCACATGGCTCAACTGCAGAGAGCGCCAATGAATGGGGACACTGAGGAACAAGTTGCTAGGTAGGTCAGGACACAGGTAGCTTTCTTTCCCAAGTTCATCCAGGACTCCATTCTCTCACTGCTCTGCATCCCCAGGCAGATGGTTACAAACACATCAAGCTTTCCCTTAGCCAGATGATTCAGTCCAAGGATGGACAGAAGGGGCTGTGGAACACAAGAATGTTCCTCTGACAGACAAGATCTAGAATGTGTGCAGGTCATTTCTGAGACCAGTTTCAGAACAGGGGAAGAAGGGTGCTTGAGCTGGAAGGGAGAGAGAACACCACTCACTGTTGCAGTCTCAGGATGCTTTTGTAGCCAGAAAAGGAGGGCAACAAAAAGAAGGAAAATGGTTCTTGTATAAATTTGAAACATTCTTGTTGAACCACAAGACAGAAAACAGTTTTTAAAAGAGGAGATAATAAAAACCAGGAGGCAATTACCAACTTTCTATGTTCAACAATCTAAAAACACATGATATCATTTGCAGAAAACACACAAAGCAGAACCAGGTCAGTGTTGACAAATTTATTCTTCAAATATTATGGATCAAATGTAGTCTTCATGTGAGTGTAGTGGGATATTCACTTTGTCTCCTTCTGTGGCACTGACCACGCCCATTGGGGGGTGGAGCCATGGGCGGAAGTGACCTGTGGAAGGAGGTCGGAGGGGGCCAGGAAAGGCTCTCTCTTTCTGGCGTGACTCGGACAGGAGAGGATCGGGTTGAATTTCCTGGTGTTCATCTGTCTAGGTTGTAAGTTATTTCTCCCTGAATAAACAGCTATTCGGCCTATTTGTTTATCCTGATCCTTATTTACCGCAATATGTGAGTGTCAGCAGATCTCATGCAATTACAGCAGATTTTTAACTTCAGTAGGAATTCAACCTTGAGATTACCCCAAAAGACTCGTAGCATAGAGTAGAACTCACCAGCCATATCCTCTTCTTCCTCGTTCATCCATGGCTGGCACATAGGACAAGAACCTGTGATGTCTGTGCAGATGAAGTTCCACGAACTCTTTCCTTTCTAGCAACTGAGCATTCCTCCAAAAGCTTCGATCACTACCCGTGAACAAAAAATGGGGTTCACATCCAGAGTCTGATTTCAAGATGAGGAAATGCTTGTGGAAATACAGAATTAGGTAGAACTAGGAAGGGGGAGATATTCTCTACACAAACAACCAGAAAGCAGTGAGAAAGTTGTTAGCTCTGAAGACTGTGAGGATGGTCCTCACAGCCTTAGCTAGGAGTAGTGTGGGGACATGACAGAGGAGTGGCCATGCTGTGGCTTAGTCAGCACCTGGATGTGGAATGTCGGAGGTTGTTGGATCTAAAGGTGTAGTGTGGTGAGAGGCCACAAGCCTGTCCTACCTGTGTTCTGGATTCCTGGTTCCTAATGTGGCCTCTCCCTCTAGCAGGCACTCCCACCATCATGGCATTGCTGTTAAAGACATACAGTCAGGAGCTATCATGTGTCCATGGCTCTGCCCAGTACAGCCTCCATCCCCAGTCTGCTGAGATGCACTAAGAAGAGTTTACTGAGTCAGGATTTCATGTACCTGGATGAGATCCTGCAACTTCTGCTCCAGGCCCTGAGCCTGCTTCCGCAGCTCTGCAGCAGATTCTGTCTTCGCACCCTCGTACAAATGTTTTGAGTCTTCCACAAGGCTGACCACGTCACTCACAAGGAAGAGGCCTGCGGTAGCTGCACCCATGATCCGGGCTGTTTTGGTCATTGCCAGAGCAGTGCCTCCAAAGGCTTTCTGCACCTGTCTTGTTGTTTGGGCTGACACTGTCCCTGTTGTCATGAGACGCTTGGCATTATTAGCTAGGTGAGTGTTGGCTTTGGCCAGCTTGATGGCATCGATGTTTTTCTTGATGACTTCCAAGTTCCGGAATGAATTCTTAGATATGGAAATGAGCCTAGAGATGCCCTTCTCCAAAACTTCTTTAATGGCTTTCATTGTGTCATTGTTGGTTGGCACTAGCTGGCTGGCTTCAGCTTCTGCTGACACTGTGCTTACCTTTTCCACAATGCCTGTGGAAACACTGGTCACAGCTGCTGCCGCTCCAAGCCCCAAGCCTGTGGCTGAAAGTCCCAGACTGACTCCTGCTGTCACAGGTGCCAGAGTGAGGCCAAGGATTGTCAGGACTCCAGACACAATACTGGCAGAGCTGGCCACCACTTGTGTGATGGTGCAGTCCTTGTGCACCTTGTCAATCTTGTCTGCAAGGGTGTGGAGCTTCCCAATGTGGCGCTCAAGTTCCAGTTTCACCTGAGGATAAATATCCAAAAACCTTTTCTTCTCCTCAAGGTCATTTTGGAGGTCATATTCATCTTCTATATCAGGATCTGCAATGATCTCACTAAGAGCTTCATGCAAGGCAATTTCCTCTTCTCTGTAACAGGAAAGACTGAGTGAAGGAGAGAGCTTGTAAGACAAGTTCACTCAATTGCAAGAAGTACACACACACACACACACACACACACACCTACATGCACAGTCATGCACACACACACATACACTCACACACAGACACACACAGAGACACACACAGATACACACACACACATACACATACACACAAACGCACACTCGTAAGGAGTACAGTTTTTCCTCTCACCGCCTGGTCTTGTCCCGCCGCCATGCCAGCCCCAATTAACACACCAAGACTCTGTATTAGATACAATTCTGTTGGCCCATTACTTGTTTCTTATCGGCTAGCTCTGTCTTAAGTATTAACCCTTTTCTGTTAATTTAATATTTCCACGTGGTCTTCTTACCGGGGAAAGGGGCAGGCATCTGGTCTCCCCGGTCTCTCCATGCTGACCCCTCCTTACTACTTCCTCTTCCTCCTTGTCTCCTAGTCCCTCCTATCTTCCTTTCCTATTGGCCAACAGTGCTTTATTCATTAACCAGTATGAGAAACATATATACATAATGGCATCTCCCATCACACTCATGCACACACACACATGCACACACAGACACACACACGCATACACACACACACACAAGACAGACACACATACACACACATGCAAATTCATGCACACACATATACTCACACACAGACACACCCACACACAGTGACACACATTCACACACACACATACACTCATGTACACGCATAAACATACAGACACATGCACACTCATGCACACACACATATACACACACACAGACACATAGACACACACACACGCAGATAAAAAACAAAACCTCTTATAAAAATCAACTTTCAATGAAACCTACTATGTTCTGGCCATATGCTGAGCCCTCCATATATGTCCTCTTATTTTTCTTACAGTGAAGTGCAATGATCTCAAAACAAAGCAGAAGGTAATAAACTAAGTTCTCATGGTCACAGGAACAGCAATAGCAGAAACAATCTTGTCCCCTATGGTTGCCATCTCTCCTTAATCAGAAGCTGTTCACTGATATTGAACAGCATTGAGGAAATCTTTCCTGAGAAGGGACACCATGAACCCTAAAAACTTGATTTGCCTGGGTAGAGTTTTCCTATCCCCCAAAAGACAGCAAAGCATGTCTGGTGGCATTGCTAGCATCCTCTAGGGAGGTGACCTTGACAAACCGGCTTTTGCTATAAGCCATTTCCAGGCTTCCTCTTCAGTCCGCAGAACCAGCAGGGCCTCTGTGCTCCTTGTGTCCAGGAGGTACTCAAACACAAGCTCAATGAAGCCTTTTCTCTCTAGAAGAGCAGGAAAGGGAATATGGCTAGAGGACCATGCATAAGAGCTTGAATGGCTTCAGGAACAAGTTGGTTAACTGTGTTTCTGAGCATCTTTTGCTTGATATATACTTTGGTGTCACTCTTGGGTGAGACTGAGTTGGGTCCCTTTATTCATTTGTAAAAACTGTAACCCCAGGTGACTGCATTTGGGGATAGAACTGTTAAAGAACCAAGCGAGGTTGTGAGTGAGAACCCTAATCCATAGTATCAATGTCCTTATAGCAACCAGAAGAAACTCCCTCCCTTCCTTTCCCTCCTTCTCTACCTTCCTTCTTCTTCCCTTTCTCTCTTTCCTTGCCTCTCTTCAACTCTCCAGACACATCAGAGAGGCCATGGGCCAGCACAGGGTACAGGTTCCTCTGCCAACCTTGAACAGAGGGCTCCCTAGAGCCAACTTGCCTCACTTTGATTGTGGATCTTGCATTCCAGGACAGGGAGAGAATAGGTTTTTTTCTTTTCAAACCACCTACCCAGTGTCACTTAGTGATGACATCTTGAAAAGATGGATGTACGAGAGCTGTGTCATTGTGCTTTGCAGAGACACCTGTCGTTTTCAGTTCAGAACGAGTAGGAAGTGAGCCCCTCATGCACAGGAAGAGTGAGAGTCCAGTGATGGCTTCCACTTACTGTGTGCCTGTGGCAGGGTTCTTGTATGTGACTTTTCTCCTTGATCTTCTTTTTTATGTATAGGAATATTTTGCTTGCTTGTATGTATGTCTATGCACCATGTGTGATTGTGGTGCCCAAGGTGGGTTTTGGATCCTTTAGAGTGGTAGCTATAGACTGCTGTGAATGTGATATGGATGTTGGGCCCTGAACCCATGTCCTCTGTAAGAGCAGCAAATGCTCTTGACCTCTGAATCACTCTCTAGTCCCAATGGCGACTTTTGACTCTGGGATGGTTAGTTATTAATCCTGAGTTTCAATCCACTGGACTAATAAATATCTTGGAGAACAGTAGTCCTTATTTGAGTGGTTTGTGAGTAGATCCTAAGTGCTCTAAGCTAATGAGTGGTTCAAAGACTGAGGTGAGCCACCATGGGAAGTGGGGCCTGGCTGGAGTTAGGCGGGTGCCTGGAATGTGTCTTGGAGCTGATGGGCATCTTGTCTTGACCCTTTCTTGTCACTGCTTTGACTGCTTTTTGTGTGCCATGATTTGAGATGCCCACATTGTCTTCCTGCCAGGATGGATCAAATCATATAATACTGTAAGTAAACAAATCTATTCTCACTCATCAAAATATGCTCAAATTGAGTAACACTAGTTGTCTTTAAAATTTTTTTAAAAAATGTGCCTTGGTGTTTTGCCTGCATGTATATCTGTGTGAGGGTGCCAGATCCTATGGGACTGGAATTACAGATATGGTCAGCTGCCACGTGGATGCTGGAAATTTAACCTGGAAGAGCAGGAAGTGCTCTCAACTGTTGAGCCATCTTTCCAGCCCTGAGTGACACTAGTTTTATCAACTAGATTTTAGTAAATGAATGAGTGAAAAAAAATGAATGAATGGTCTTCTAAGTCATTAGAAGAATTTTAAAAAGGAAATGGAGGCAGCGTAATGGTGCACACCTTTAATCCCATCACTAGGGATGCTAAGGCAGGTGGATCTCTGTGATTTGAGGCCATGGGAAGCCAGGTGACAGTGAGTAGGAGGAGACTTGTATGGTTAAGGCTGGTGTATGGTGGTTCCTGTTGTAGGATGGTTCCTGGTGTGGGGTGTTTCATGGATTTAGGGTGGTTTGTGATTGTAGGGTGTTTCCTAGTTGTAGGGTGGTTCTTTCCTGGTGTAGGGTGTTCCTTGGCATTGACGATTGCTCCTGGGTGTAGAGTGGTTACTGGTTAGGAGCCACTTGAAGGTGGAATTTTTTTGTTTCTGGTTTTTTTTTTTTTTTTTTTTTTCTCCCTTCTGGGTTTGGCTTCAACTTCAAACTTTTCTGAAGAAAAGTTACCACCAGGCCCAGATTAGGTAGGCACAGCTGGTAAGTAAGCACTTGTCCTGCAGTGCAGAGCTGGAGCCCTAAGAACCTGCAATGGGCATTAGATTCCTTGAAATTAATGGGGTTCAAGGAGAGCAGGAAAGCAACAGGGAGGGCTCACCATACAGCAGGCACTGGGTCTGCCTGTTTGTTACTCTGGTCCTCAGAACAACATGGGGACAATGGGCCTGGAGATACAGGTAATATGAGGTGACACTTTCCAGGTAACAGAAATGGACAGTGGGTCCAGACTCCCTGAAGTGCAGTTTCTTCCTGCTGAGGCAGTTAGAACAGGTGGGTTCCTGAGCTGGAGCAGGGTGGGCTCCCTCCTCAGGGACAGCTTGTCAGGGTCAACTGAGAGCAAGCCTCCATGAAGGGGCTGGAGCTGCCTCATATCTCAACCTTCCTGCCTCCTGTTCCCTCCATTTTTCTCTCCCTCCCTCCTCCAACTCCCTCCCTTTTTCTCCTTAAATTTCTCTCTTAAGTCCCTAAACTCACTCCCTTCCCTTCTGGCTTCCATTTTTCAGGCTGGGTATTGAGGAGCCTCTTGAGAATGCACCCCTATACAAGACCAGGAAGGGGGCCTCTGTGACCCAGGCCTGGGGAACTCTCTCTGCTCCCCCTTGGGGGTTCTCCTCTTGAATCTTTGACTCCTCAGCAGGCACTCAGCAGGGAAGCTCTGGCAGTCCTAGGCCATGAGCAGCAGCAGAGAACAAGACTGATTACCTGGGGAGCCCATGACAGCTGCTGGGTCTTGGTATCACTCAGGGGAGTCTGGCAGGTTTTCCTTACAGCTCCACAGGCGTCCAGGCTACTGGGGGAAAAACAACCTGTGGGACAGAATGGGGACAGCTGCTGTGACCAGGTGATTTGGTGACCCACAAATCATTCAACATGGCTGCCAAGGACAGAAAGAACTTGACACTAAGTTCTTCTGTTTCCTGGTGCTATTTAAAGAAGTTGATCTTGTGGCTCCAACCCTGCTGCCCTCACCCCAGCCAAGGTGGAGGATGCCTGCCCTGATTGCTTCTGGCCCTGTGCTCCTCCAAAACCAAGGAGATACTGGAGGCGATGAAGGTGACATCAGTTGAGGACACAGCTGTGGAGAAACAATGGACTCTGCATATAGGATGAAAGATGGAGAAGAATGTTCTGGTAGAAACTTGCAGTATTAATGGTAGTGTATATAATAGCGATATCTATTAATGGTAACTTCTTATACTTCCCATCTAAGTCCATGTTTTATTGATGTGAAGAGAAACCATGACCAAGGCAACTCTTATAAAGGAAAGCATTTGATTGAGGCTTGCTTACAGTTTCAGAGGCTTAATCCATTTACCACAATGGTGGAAAGCATGGAGGTATGCATGCAGACCCATTGCTTTTATAGCTGAGAATTCTACATTCAGATTCCCCAGACAGCAGAAAGGGAAAGACATTGGTTTGCCTCTAGCTTTTGAAACCTCAAAACCCACCTCAGTGACATACTTCCTTCAACAAGGCCACATCTTCTCCAACAACACCACACTTCCTAATTACTCTCAAATAGTGCCACACCCTAATTACCAGGCATCAAATATATGAGCCTATGGGAGCCACTCCTATTCCAAACCATGACACTTACAGTCCATGATGCTCTGGGCTCTTTACTCATACCTAATGAAGTCTTTGCACATGCTCTATTAGGTTGAGATCTTCTGACTCTATGTCAAGGAGGTGGGGGAGGCACATATTCAGCTAATATGTGTGAGTTTTCAGTGTTGACAGAGTGAGGACCTGAACGCAGAACATGCTAATCCATTTCTCACTTGAGATGACTAAGCTCCACTGTCTTAAAAACACAACTGCATTCCCTTGTATTTATATTACATGTGTGCATCACAGTGTGTGTGTGTGTGTGTGTGTGTGTGTGTGTGTGTGTGTGTGTTATCAATGCTTCTCTATCCACAGCATTGCGTGTGCAAGGTACCAGGTCCTTATTTTAGAAAGTTCACTGGGGTGCTCTGTGGTTCCCAGGAGACCTCTTCTTGCTTGTGTGATATTCTTGTCCTATCAGGATAATCCCTGTCCTGCTGTGTGCTGCCCTTGGCACCTGCTCTTCTCCCTGACTCCTGGACCTATGATGTTCCTACTCATTATGTAAATAGTGATGCAAAGAATGTTCTCCTTGCCTGTTAGTTCCTGCATTTGAGACTATTTCCTTATGATAGCTGTAGAAGTAGGACTGGGTTAAGGGCACTAACATCTAACACAGGCTGCATATGAGGATGCTCACTCCTTCCTTCTGACCCAGTCCTCAGTAGTCTTTGGGGGTGGAGAAGACCTCATAAAGAGAGAAACACAAACTGACTGAGATTTCCTGGAAGCTAGGGATGGAAAGAAAACGTGATTAGCAATATGTGAAAGAGGCATCAGCTCCTCCTGGGACCTGACCAAAATGAGGGTGAATGATGTGCTGCTGTGGTAACAGTTGAAGATATGGTGGCTCACACTCAGGACTGGACTCTGTCCTTGTAACTGATGAGTCAGTGTTCTTCTCCGAACCTTCCAAGTGTGTACATAGCCCAGGCTGGCCTCAAACTCACTGTGTAGCCTAGGAGAAATATGAACGCCTAATCTTAGGCCTGCCCCACCCAAGTGTTAGGACCTCAGGTGTGTGCCCCACCTGTTCAAGCCATCTCATATTCACATGAAATCATAATGAAATAAAAAGAATATTACAAAAATAAGATTCAGTCAGGGACTGATATGTGACAGGTGTTCTGAAGTCCACTCCCCAAAGTGAAACCCAGGGTCAGCTCTTCTGGGACAGAATCCTTTCTCTTTGATAACAGTAATAGGAACTTTGTACTTAACGTTACAGGGAGGGAGTCATCTCATCATTGACAGGTTAAAAAAAATCACTTTAATACAGAGATGAATCTTAAAAATAATTTACTGGTCAAAGAATTTAAACATCTTAAAGATGTCCATTGGTGCAGTTGAATGTGCTCACATCCCAGTGTAGCTGTTGGGCTATGAAAACTGTGGAGTTTTGCAGAACAGTCAACAACACCCACCCAGGACTGTACTCTGCCCAGGTGGGCATATTATGTCATACATCCAGCAGGCAGGCAGCAGAGCAAGTCCATGGAAACCTGCCAGCAGTATCAGGTGCAGGTCAGTGTAGCTTTAAGGCCACTCTGGGGTTGGGAGTATTTGTCAGGGTTCTCTAGAGTAACAGAACCTATAGAATAAATCTCTCCATATATATAGAAAGGGGAATGATTAGAATGACTCACAGACTGTGGCTCAGCTAGTCCAACAATGGTTGCGTAGGGATGGAAGGTTGAAGACTCCAATAGTTGCTCAGTCCACAGGCTGGATGTTTCAGCTGGTCGTCAGTATATGCTGGAACCAGCAGAAGGAGGCTCTAGTGGCAGCAAAGGAATGGACTTGTTGGTTAGGCAATAGCAAGCAGGCAAAGATCAAAAGCTTCTTTCTTTCACGTCTTTATATAGGCCTCTAGCAGAATGTGTGGCCTTGATATGAGTCAGGGCCTCCCTCCTC